GAAGAAGAAGAAGAAGAAGAAGAAGAAGAAGAAGAAGAAGAAGAAGAAACAACAACTTATTTTTAGAATAAGTTGCCTTTTTTTTTTGGTACCAGGGATTGAACTCAGGACTTTGTGCTTGCCAAGCAGATGCTTACGCCACTGAGCTATCTCCCAGGCCCTAAGCTGCCATTTATTTATTTATTTATTTGTTTGTTTGTTTGTTTATTTATTTATTTATTTTTGGACCTGGGGCTTGAACTCAGGCCCTTGCGCTTGCCAGGGAAACGCTTATTCCACTGAGCCATTTCCCCGGCCCTTAAGCTGCCTTTTATGAATAATAGTACATATATTCTTCAAAATAAGGCATCTTTCTATGAAAATATACAAGTTGTTGAGGCTACTTTATTTGTTCCTTTTGAGACAAAGATTCTCTATGCACCACAGGCTGCTCTTGAACTCATTTTATATCCCAAGCTGCCTTGAACTCACATTGATCCTCCTGCTTCAGCCTCCCAAGTGCTGGGATTACAGGAGTTTGGAAACGTACCCAGCCTTTATTTGCTTTCTGAAAAGGTACTTAAACTGGGCATGGTGGTGGTAGTTATTTGTAATCCCACCACTTGGGAAGCTGAAGCAGGAGGATTTCTCTGAGTTCATGTAGGCCTCGGGTTACACAGTGAGTTCAAGGTCAGCCTGAACAACAAAGTCAGACCTGGCCTCTAAGTAAATACATACATACATACATACATACATACATACATACATAAAAGAAAAAGTGCTTGGGTGTAAATTTACCAGCAGAGGAAAACTTTATGTCAGCCACTGCTTCAGATGGCCCAAGCCCTTCTTTTAACGTGATGTCTTTAGCAACAAGAGGAGGAAAGTCTGCCATTCGCTCTGCTCCACCCATTGGAACCTATCAATGAAATACAGGAAGATCTTTCAAAGTGCAGCTTAGGCTGTCTGTAACTGTGACATCATACAAATCACTGAAAATTCTATACAAGAATAAAATCCTGAACACGCAACCGTTGTAAAAAGCGGGGAGCTCTGTGATGACATGAAAACTACAGATTCTAGAGCCCAGGGCCACTGTTGGGCACTGACTTACATTACTTTGCAGTTGCTGGGACGAAATACCCAACACCCACAAATTAAAGGAGGAAAGGTTTAGTTAGCTCTGTTTGTAGAGGTTGTAACCCATAGTAGGTGGGTGCCAAGGTAGGGAGATGTGGCAAAGAAGAAACTCCACAGCAGAAAGGAGGCAGGAGGGGCAGGAGGGGCAGGAGGGGCAGGAGAGGCAGGAGGGGCAGGAGAGCCCTTGATCTGTATTTGCATAGCCTAGATTCAGCCACCTCTGCAAAGCCCCACCTATGAACACATGATGCTTTGGGGGGACTTCTAGATATACGCTGTAACAGGCATGCACACGTCAGCAATGTACGACAGGAGAATTATGCTTTACTGATACTTGATAGCCCTCCATCAGGCTTTACTTGGGGTGGTGGTAGAGATGCCTAAGCTACTAAAGCATACTTCTGAGAATGCATGGGTGGGTCACAGATACAAGACTATGGGAACTACATTCCCAGCCCCTTCCTCTGGCACTGTTACCTATGCTAACCCCTGGCTGCCATACACTGAGTACCTCCACTCCCTAGTGCCCTTCTGCCACACAGTTATGGTTTTGGAGCCAGGTGGAAATGGACTGTGGCTCCTGCAACCACGAGCTAGATTAAACTTCTCCATTAAGTATGAGGGCTGTGTCCTAGTGATGGGAAGGCTGACACAGAAAACTGCTACTGGCTGTGGCGCCACGGCTGTGGCTGTACCTGGTAACGCAGTTTGGAAGCCTCTGGAATTGGTTTGCAGGAGGACACTGGAAAGACCAGGAGATGTGGGCTGGAGAAGCTCTAGAATGCTGTAAGTAGGGCTGTGTGGGTGACTGGCTGGCGCCCTGAAAAACAGAGTGCAAACAGCGAAGGCCAAGCTCACGAAGTTTCGGTGGGGAGCCAGGACTTCCTAGGCAGCTGGACTACAGGCCATGTGCATTACACTTCGGCAAAGATTTATGTCATATTTACTCATTTTCTGAGACTTTTGGGGAAACTAAGATGAAGGGTGCTGGACTAAACTGGTATAGAGGTACATACTGGTAATCTCAGCACTTTAGGAGGCTGAGGCAGGAGGGCTACAAGTTTTGAGCCCAACCTGGATGACTCAGCAAGACTTTGTCTCAAAGTAAAAAAAAGGGCCAGAGATTGTTTTAGCTCATGTTTAGACATGCGTCCAAGCCTTGTGGGACCAGAGGGACTTTTCACAGGTGGTTGGATGTAATGCATGACGCTGGGATCTAGGGTGTGTGATTACTAAACAAGTTCACTCATAGCTCTGGGTAGGATTAAGGGTGCACAGCTCTGGGTAGGATTAAGGGTGCCCTACCTTGGTGTGAGTATCGCCTGCCCTAAGTATGTAGCCTGGATAGGACATAAGGGACAGAAAGAGTGGAGCTGCTTGTCATTTGCTGCTTGCTTGCTGCCATCTGCCTGCCCTACTTTGCCCTGGAGTGTTTCTCCCCTGTGATGCCCACCTGAGGGCCAGCCAACTATGGACTAAAGCCTCTGTGAACTATAATCCAAATAAATTCTTTCTCCTTTAACTTTGGGTGTCAGGTATTTTTTTTTTTTTTTTTTTTTCTGCAAAGCTTTATTCCAGAGGGGCTCAGTCCTTCTTGGCAGCTGCCTTCCTCATGGCGGCCAGCACGTTGCTCAGCTCCTCACGCTTCCTCTTGGCGCGGATGTGCGTCCCCACTCTTTTCTTGATGAACTTGAGGGCGCGCTTGTCCTTGGAGACCTTGAGCAGCTCCATGGCGCGCCGCTCATAGTGGGCGAAGCCGCACACTTCCCGGATTATGTCCCGCACGAACTTGGTGTGTTTGGTGAGATGTCCGCGGCGGCGGCTGTGCCTCGGTTTGCTCACATTCTTAGTTACCTTGTGGCCCTTGTTGAGGTCCACGGCCATGGGATAGCGGAGGGCCATGGCTACTCTTTTTCAATGGTTGCTGTGGCGGAAGGACCCCGGGTGTCAGGTATTTTATCTCAGCAACGAGTAAAGTAAGACAGGGATGCAGCTCAGTGTGAAAGCCCCGAGTTAAACTTCCATATGGGAGGAAAAAAAAGCAGTATAGTAACTGATCCAGCAGAGGAAATTTCAAGGCAATCCAAATGGCATTCAGGCCGTTGCAAGGGTACTGCTACTGTTTTTTTAGCTAGGTTTACCAGGAGCATAAAGCAAGAAAGAAAAATCTGAAAAATGAAATCTTTAGCCTAAAAGGAACCATGTATAAACTTGGGGCCAAAGGAGGTGTGGCTGTTGAGATTTGTATTATTAAGAAGAAACCAAGCTTTTTTTTTTTTCTTTTTTTCTGGTCTTTTTGAGACATAGTTTTGCTATGCAGTTCAGGCTGACCCTGAGTTCACTCTGTAGCCCAGCCTGGTATCAAACTCCCAATGATCCTCCTACCTCAGCCTCCCAGGGCAGGGATTACAGGTGTGTACCACCATGCCTGAGTAGAAATTAAGTACTTTACACAGGGCTAGGGGCATCTCAGAAACCAAGGGCCAGGGATATAGCTCAGGGGCAGAGAGCCTGCCTGACAAGCATAAGGTCCTGAATTTGATTCCCAGTACCAAAAGAAAAAGAAAAAAGAAATAACCAGACCTCATTCACCACAGCCTCAAAGGTACAAGTACCAACCATCCCTTTGACAGTCACACTCTGCTTGAGAAGGGCCAACTAGAGCATTAGTTCCTCAGGTTTTTTTTTTTTTTTTTTTTTGCGGAACCGGGGATTGAACTCAGGCCCTTGCACTTGCCAGGCAAGTGTGCTTATTCTATTGAACCATCTCCCTGGCGCCCCTCAGGTTTCATTTCACCATGTTTGGCTACCCAGACACTCCAGAAGCCACTGCAGGCATGGCCCGAGTTGTGACCCTAGCTCCTTCTTCAGCTGGCAGATGACGCTGGCACCGTGCACATGCCGATGGGGGTCACAGACATGCAGAGTGTAAGAGCTGTGGGGTCAGAGGGGCGTCTACCCAGTTTTCAAAGGAAAGCCTCACAGGTCAGGTGAGGCGTGGGAATGAAGCCAAAGGTACAGCGGAGACTCCAGAACTGTGGAGTGCTTGCTTAGGCCATGAACAGGGCCAGTCTAAGACAAGCCACGTGGATCACAACCCGCAAGGCCATACAGGAGGGGCTGCCCTAGCCCTCTGGGACTCTGTTGCACCAGCCTGTGCCCTATTTTCCAGTCATAGAAGTATAAGGCTTAACGTTTGCCCTGCTGGGTTTCAGCTTTGCTTTGGTCTGATTCTTTTCTATCTTCCTATCCCTTATGCCTCCCTTTTAGAATGGGAATGTTTACTCTGCATCATTTTATACTGGGAACACATAGGCTGCTTTTGAACCTTATGGGACTCATAGCTACGAGGGCGCCCAGAGTCTCAGAGGAAACTGACTCGGAATGCTGCAGCTCTGCAGGGACTGCTGAGACTTTGCCAGAAGAGACTGTTGTGTTTTGGTGATATGTAGAATAGCTGTACCACATTAGGTGGAATTATGACCTGTGTTTAATTGGGGAAAGTGTGGTTTAAGGAAATGTAAAAGTTTACCTGTCAAGTTTACAAGGACTAGTATGTGGTTTAAGTTTAACTGTACCAACTTGATTGGTTTGGGAGCTTCCTAGTGGATTACTAAAACAGGCTTCTGGGTGTGTATGGGTGGGCCACAAGCAGCACGGCTCTGGGCACTGCAGTCTCTGGCCCCTTCTTCTGACTCTTGTTCCCCTGTGCTGCGTCCCAGCTGCCATGAACTAAGTCTCTTCACTCCATCACATCCCTCTGCTATGTTTTGGTCTTGGAGCCAGGTGTTCATGGAATGAATCCCCTGAAAGTGTGAGCTGAATTAAACCCTTCTTCCTTTATTTTATTTTGTTTCATTATTTTATTTTGGAGACAGGGTCTCACTGTGCAGTACAGGCTGGTCTTGAGCTCAATTTGCAGCCCAGGCTGGTCTCAAAATTATTATTATTTTTTTATGCATTTAGCTTTTTTTTTTTTTTTGGCAGAACTGGGGATTGAACTCAGGCCCTTGTGCTTGCCAGGCAAGCGCTTATTCTACTGAGCCATCTCCCCCACCCCATGGTCTCAAACTTATCTCAGCCTCCTGAGTGCTGGGATTATAGGTGTGCACCCCCATGCCTGGCCCTTCCTCCTTTATGTTTTGAGTGTTGGATACTGTGTCCCAGTGACAAGAAAGCCCGCTAATATACATGCAGCAATGTTGGGCAATGGAGACAAGGTCCTTCTAAATGCCTTGTTATAGGTGTGGCTAAAAGAGGAGTCCTTGACTCTTTTTTTTTTTTTTTTTGGAACCGAGGATTGAACTCAAGATCCTTGCGTTTGCCAGTCAAGCACTTATCCTACTGAGCCATCTCCCTGGCCCTTGACTCTTTATAAGTCAAGAGTCCACATACAGTGCATAAGATTCAGCTTCTCTATTTACAGATATTTCCATAAATTGGAAGTATCTAAATAATAACTTATCCATTCATTAACAAATTTCTCCTGTGTTTACGAGTGGGGAGAAAGGGCCGGCCAAATAGCTCAGCCGATTAAAGCACCTGCAAGCAGGCACAGGGGCTGGGAGTTCAATCCCCTGGGCCTGCTGTGCCAGCCCCACCCCTGGGGCACGCTGAGGCAGCAATTGAGACTGGGCGTGGTGGGGCACGCCTGTAATCCCAGCTCTTGGGAGGCTGTAAACAGGTGGATCACCACAAGTCAAATCTAGTAGTGAGACCCTGAACACCCTGTACACCTTTTCCTAAAATACAAAGAGTGGGGATCACACAGGTGTAACATACTGTATTATGGTTGCTGTTACAAGCTACCGCAAGGTAAGATGCATGCTGAGGGTCTCTATGAAGCATTACCACAATTGTGGAGGAAAGAATAATGGATGTGTTTAGTCTAAGACACATTAATGAGCAACACTTTGAGAAATGGGTCTAAAGGACTATGTACAAAAGTGCTCTGAGGGCAGGGCTCAGCAGCACAGTGCCTGCCTGGCAAGTGAGGTTGTGAGTTTGATTCCTGGTACCAAAATAATCTTTTTTTTTTTTTGGTCTTTTTGAGACAGGGTCTCACTATGCAGTTTAGGCTGGCCTTGAACTCACTTAGTAACCCAGGCTGGATTCAAACTTTTAATAATCTTTCTGCCTTAGCCTCCTCCTTAGTGCTGGGATTACAGGTGTGTGCCACCACTAAGAAAAGCATTCTGAGTTAGCAAACAGCACAAAGCTGGAGAAACTGTAGTTATCCAGAGAAAGAAGGGGAGGGGGAGGGAGGGAGGGGGAGCGGGAGAGAGAGACCCAGCATATGAGCCATGTGGCGGGGATTACTGAAGGTGCTGTCAGTTTAGGGTTGTCTCCATAATGTGGAACTACATGTAGAAGGAGCAGAGATGCCTTGAGCAGTGCATACTGATCTAGCCGAGGTGCTGGTGGTCGTCTTTGAAGACGGCACACGTGTTTCCTGATAACCCACACCTGCTGCTCTTTACCATGAGTCCAGTGGAGACAGGACGAAGAGCCAAAGCTCCGTGTTGTCAGCTGGGAGCAAGCCTCGAGACAGAGGCTATGACTTCCTGCGGCTGGAAAGCTTACACATCAGAGCTGAGGCACCGGACCCCAAGACATGACATACTATCTCAGTAGTGCAATACAAACTACTTTTTCTGCACACTCCTCTCTCTGCTTATGGCAGAGGTAAATGCAGGCCACCTACCTAGCTCACAGTACTCACCTACTTCTCACAATTCTCAGTCATGCATCCTCAAGCCATTCCTCCTTCACGACTGAACACAATCCCTGGGTTTGGCCCTGGGTTAGTCTTTTTGTTCCAGAAAGCCATCTTCATGGCTGGACTTAGGACCCCGTGGCTCCCCATAATTATGAATATGCTTTAGTGTCTTTTTTTTTTTTTTTTTCACTGTAGGTTGCACTAGGAGTGGTAGACTGGAATTAACTTAGTGGGATTCCAATAACGTATTTTTGGGATTACAAATATAAACTTCTTGGACTGAGATGAGGACCAGGAGGGGCTTCTTACACCAGGAGGCAAAGAGTCTCAAAATAAAATAACCCAAGAGGGCTGGGATATAGCTCAGCGGCATAAGCATCTGCCTAGAAAGTACAAGGTCCTGAGTTCAATCTGTGGTATTGAGAAAAAAACAAACAAACAAACCAAGAAAAGGTCCTGAGTTCAATTCTTGCTACAAAAACAAACAAAAAGACAAAGCTGGGGTCTACGGGTGCATGTCTGTAATCCCTGCAGGCTGTATTCCCAGCACTCAGGAGGCTGAGGCAGGAGGATCACTGGAAGTTTGAGACCAGCCTGGGCTACAAAGTGAGCTCAGGGCCTGCCTGACCTACACAGTGAGACCTTGTTTCAAAAAAAAAAAACAAAAAAAACAAAAAACAAAAAACAAAAAACAAAACTGTTCAACAGGTTGTTACTTAGAAAGCACCAATGGTGCTCAATGGAAAAACTACACGTTTATGAATGGAGCCACCTGAGAGTGCATTTTTATGTGAGCTGTAGTGATAGTTTGTGTCTGGGTGTCCCCCAAAGCCTCATGTAGTCATGGGACAGACTTCTAGGGTTTGTGATTCATTCATGATCCACTGTTGGGATTATGGGTGGAAGTGCTACACCCGCTCTGGGGCCCACTGCCTGGATGCGGTATAAGGAAGGGAGAGAGGCTTGCTCTCTGCCTCTGCTGCTGCGCCTCCCTTTTGCTCTTGCTGTTTTGCTGTTTTCCGATGCTATGAACTGCTGCCCTGTCCCATGTGTTGCTCTGCCTGGGAGCCAGCCGAGTATGGCCTGAAACCTCCACAAACTGTGAGCTAAATAAACCTTTCTGTCCTTAATTCTGGGTGTTAGGTATTTGGTTCTGGCAATGTGAGAAAAGTAAACCTGACAGCTGTGTTGCATAAACTAAGAAAGTTTTCCTTCCCTCAAGTCTCAGACTGCATTTTAACCACTGCCCTCCTAAAAGTGAACCGATGGAAGGGGCCGGGGAGATGGCTCAGTAGGATAAGCGCTTGATTGGCAAACGCAAGGACCTGAGTTCAATCCCCGGTTCTGAAAAAAAAAAAAAAAAAAAAAAAAAAAGTGAACCGACGGAAGAGGAGAATGAAAGCCAGTAGCGCAGGGAACTGACAAAGCCTGCAAGGCTGAGTGCTGTCAGGTGCTCCTCTCCCTGGAAGGTCCTACAAGTGCCTGGAATGCTGAACGCACAGCAGTTATGTCAATGTAGTTTTCATTTCAGTCTGGCTTTCTTGAGAAATGCAGGAAGAAAGAAGTATTTGTTCAAGCCAGGCTTATTTTAAAAATCTTTTTTAAAGGGAGTGAGAGCCATGTGCACATATAATTTGCAGTATGGGCTGCTGAACCCAGGCCTTTGAGCATACTAGGCAAATGCTTCACAACAAACCTATTTTATTTTTTAAAAAATGATTTTCAGGGCTGGGGAGATAGCTCGTGGTCCAAGTGCCTGCCTGGAAAGTGTAAGGACCCAGGTTCAATCCCCAGTACCATATGCTGTATGGGCCCATGGGCGCGCCATGCCAGCCACCAAAACTGGGTGTGGTGGTGCACCCCTGTAATCCCAGTGCTGGGGAGGCTGAGAAGGGAGGATCGCTATGAGTCTGACGTCTGTAGTGAGACCCTGTACCAAATAAACAAATAAAATGATTTTCCAGTTGTATGAACTCTTAATACTTTGGCTCTGTTCTTTTTTGATTGAGATTTGATGAGAGAATCTTGTTACATATTCCAGTCTGCCTTGACTTTGCTACGAAGCCCAGTTTGGCACCAAACCTGCACTTCCTGTGAGTGTAGGATGACAGGCGTGGGCCACCACACCCAGCTGCATGAGCGCTAATAGTGCTTGCTGCTGCACTGGGTGACCTTGGTGTTTTTGCATTAGATATGTTGAATTATCATCACTGTCACCACAGATCCTTGTATGTATAGTCTTCTCCAGTCTGCTGAGGTAGGTGCTACACAGATAGAGGAAATCTGCTAAAGGAATGGAGCTTTGCTGGACTGTAAAGAAGGGGGATGGACAGGTCACTGAACATTTCACCTTTTTTAAATCTAAAGATAAGAACAATCCTGATGTATTTATAAGCCAAAGAAAGCAGCTAGGAGAGCAGGAAATGAGGAGGGATAATAGGTGAAATGCCTGGGACTAGGAATTTGGGGGAGCCAGTTGTGGTGCTGTGCAGGACTGTAAGCTTAAGGCCATCTGGGTAATCTAGAGACTCTACCTCAAGTTAAAAAAAAAAATAATGGCCAGGGATTTAGCTCATGTTCCCTGGGTTTAATCCCAGTACCATAAAGAAAAAGGACAGAGGAGGAAAAAAAGCCTTTCTATTCAAATCAGTGCTTCTCAACCACAACAGCTGCCTTGGGACTGACTACTGACTGATCCCTGGGTTGTGTGGGGCCCCGTGCACTGAGGATGTGAGTATCTGCCACCTCTCCCAGTGGATGCTGTGTGTGTGTGTGTGTGTGTGTGTGTGTATACCTAGCTGTGACAGAAGCTGTACTCCCCCCACTTAGCATTGCCCAATACAACATGGCTACTGGGGATGTGAATGGTGGCCAGTGTTACTAAGGGATCACTTTTTAAATTGCATTTAACTTTAACTAATGTAGTTAAATAGCCATACGTGGCTGGTGGCTTCCATACTGGATAATTTAGTCCAGAGAACATACGCATCTATAGCTCTCCTAAAATCAGTCCAAACCAACATCATGTTTCATATAAAGGCTGCTTCACCCTATAGCCAGAATACTCGATGCTGAGGGGAGGGGATGTCATGGACAGACAACAGCCAGTTCTGTCCACATTGGGTCCTCAGCTATGGGATTGTCACAGGGAGACCTGCTACCACTGTGGTCATCCAGCCATGCCGCCTTACCTGGAGCAGCGCGTGACCTGCGTGCTTCTGATACACAGCATCTGCTTTGTCCAAGGAAGTGATATGCACAGGGAGGAAGCTGGAAGCCACAACTGTAAACCAAGCGGACTGCTTTCCCTAAAGACAGAAGGAGAGAATGATTTTACACAACAAAAAATTTGGAAACTCACATTTTTTTTTTTTTTTTTTTTGTATTTTAGGGAAGGGTCTGCAGGGTGTTGAGGGTCTCACTCCTAGATTGGACTTGTAGTGATCTGCCTGTTTACAGCCTCCCAAGAGCTGGGATTACAGGCGTGCGCCACCAGGCCCAGTCTCAATTGCTGTCTCAGCATGCCCCAGGGGCAGGGCCTCACAGCAGGCCTGGGGATTGAACCCCTGACCCCCGGCACCTGCTTTCAGGCACTTTAATCCTCTGAGATATTTGGCTGGCCCTTTGGAAACCCACATTTTACAAGACACAATAAAAATGAACCAAAGTAAGCAACCTTTGTAAGAACTGGTATGGCAGAAGCTATAATCAAACTACATTCATGCTAAAAAAATAAGTATAAAAGAGACATGTAACACGGGATAGAAAGCTCACAATTAATTTGTCACATAAGCCTAGAACTGAAGGCTTGACTTTATGGTTTCTACATGAAACAATAGGAAAGGAACATATCCTATCTTAATTGCTAAGCTGTACGGGGCACTCACTATCACACTGATGGCATAGTTTTTTTTTTTTTTTTTTTTGAGACAGGGTCTCATTATGCAGTTTAGGCTGGCCTTGAACCATATGGCCCCAGCTGCCTTCAACTTGCTGCGATCCTGCCTCAGCCTCCTGAGTGTTGGAATTGCAGGCAGGCGCCACCACACCCAGTACAGAAGAGTTTTAAAGACCAGAGCTAGGCATGCTAGAACATGCCTGTCATCCCAGCAGGAGGCTGAAAGGCAGGAGGATCTCCTGGGTCAGCCCAGGCTATATATCGAGACCTTGTCTCAAAAAACAAAACAAAACAAGCTAAACAAGCACTCAAGGAACGAATGTGGTGGTGGTGGGAAGACCTTGCATGTTTCATGGTAGGGGATGTATTTAAAAAAAAGAAACTTCCTACATAACCATGAGTTATTTATATCATCATTTTGCCACACCTGTTATGTACCTGCTTCATTAATTTTTTTTTTTTTTGTGGTACCAGGGATAAAACTATGGACCTTGCGCTTGCCAGGCAGGCACCTAAACTGCTGAGCTATATTCCTGGCCCTAAAATGCATCTTCACACTTTAATTTTTCACGCATAGTCTTACCATGCAGTCCAGGCTGGCCCTGAATCGTCAGTACTCCTGTCTCCCCCACCCGCCCTACCAACGCACTTCTCTAAGGTGCAAACTTCTCTTACCTGCAAAAAATCGATGCGTCCTATGGCACCCAGGAATAGAACCATTCTTGGTTTAAGCACAAAGGTTCTTGGAACAATGGAATGTGTTGGCAAAACATTATTTACTTCTTTATCTGTTAGAAGATTTAAAATCTGTGAAGCAAATGGCACATTATTTTAGAGAATTACTATTATTGCAATTATTGCAAATAATGGCAATTTGTTATTTACCTGTAAAATGATAAAACAAATTATGTCAGCCACACATAAAAATTATACACATTCTAATTAATCTCAATGTATTAGTGGACAGTACTGGTAGCTTGATAAGTCTATGATATTTTCATGTGTTGATAGCATTCCCAGATGTCACCATCAGGGTGAACCTGAAAATACTTTACATAAAATGCATGTGCAGGGACTGGGGAGATAGCTCAGTAGAATAAGCGCCTGCGTGGCAAGCACAGGGTCCGGAGTTCAATCCCCGGTACCACAAAAAAAAAAAAAAAAAAAGCATGTACAAGGGTCCTACTGGGTGGTTTCCAGCTTAATAGTGCAATTTGTGACCTCATGTCCTTGTGGTGAGACATGTAAATAGAAATGGTCACCCTATCTAGAAGTAGGTCAAGAGCTTAAAGAGTCTCTTTCAAATCCTGAACTTTAATATCCTTAAATTTAGGAATCAGCATTAAAGCTTGAGCCAGACCTTTGCACTGAGCTACATATCCAGTCATTTGTTTCTTTTTTAAATTGGGAAACGGGGTTTTGCTAAGTTGCCCCAGTTTGGATAGAACTTGTGCTCTCCTTGCCTCAACCTCCAGGAGTGCTGCGATTATAGGAGTATTCTACCATACCTGGTTGGAATGAAGGGTTCTTCGAGACTACAGAAAACAGAAAAAGAGAGTACAAGATTCTGATGATTTTTTTTTTTTTTTTTTTTTTTGCTACTGGCTTGTTTTGTGGTAATATAGACTGAACCCAAGACCTCACACCTGCTAGGTAAGTGTACTTTCACTGAGTTATGTTCCTAGCCTTTCTGGCAAGATCTGTTTTGTTTTGTTTGAGAAAGGGGCTTGCTATGCAATTCAGGCTGGCCTTGAGTTCACTACATAGCCTAGGCTGGCCTGGACCCTACAGCAATCCTCCTGCCTCAGCTTCCTGAATGGTAGGATTATAGTTTTGTATCACCACATTTAGCTTCTGGTAAAATTTAAAAAAAAGAAATCTGATTAGCATGTTCATGATGTGGCTGTAATTTGTATGTCTTGCTGCTGGGCAGCTGACTTAAACATGTTACATGCTCACCAACTTGAACTGTTAGTGGCATATGCATGACAGAGTCCTGCTATGTGGCCCAGGCTGGTCTTGAAGTCACTGTGATCCTCTTGTCTCAGCTTCCTGAATGCCAGGATCACAGACATGTGCCACCATTCCTGGAAACAATATACTTCTGAGACTTTAACTGTAAGTAGATCCGACCAAATAGAAGAAAGGTCCCTAAGAAACCAATGCTGCTTCACAGGGAGACACTGGTGAATGGCCAGAGGAAAGGGAGTGATCAAGGGAACCGCTACATGGCTACATGTTGATGCACACTAGAGAACATCACTGACTTGGATAAAGATGAAAACTGCAAACAAGCTATGAGAAACTGAAGGCTGAGGCAGAAGAGTCAAATGTTTTCAAAATAAAAAAGACAGCAATGATATATATGATTTCTTCCACACTCACATCTAGGATCTGGTAAATGTTTCCCTGACTAGGGTGACAACCACAATCCTAACACAAGTAAGCTGCCTGCACTACTGTTCACGAAATGAGCCCAGAACGTAGTGGCATGTGGTAGATTCATCCCTGAACTGCTTTATGAATGAATCCATATCAAATTAAAAATGGAAATATACTTCTTGCTACCAATTAGGGCAGTATTGTCTCCAGTATAAAGATTACTAAAGTTAATGTTACAAAGACATACACAATTTTCTTTCATAATTCCTGGAGTGTCATAAAACCAGTGAGCATCTTTTACATCTTGTGGGGTCAACTCTACTCGCTTGGTGGGTCTCTCCATAATCTCAACAGGCTCATTTCCCATGTCAAAGGCCAGAGAGTCAGCATCAAACTCAAATTCATTCTTCCGTTCTTCTGAGTACGCAAATGTTCTTCCAACTCTTCCTAGAACAAATCATATTGAGGTTATCAGTCACTGCATTAATACTTTTGACTCCAAAGTTTTGATTTATTTTAGCACTGGGGATTGAACCTACAGCCTCATGCATGCTAGGCCAGCACACATCTGAGCTGCATCCCCTGCCCTTCTGATTTTGAGATAGGGTCTTGCTAAGTTGCACTGGCTAACCTTGAACTTGTCATTCTTGTGCTTCAGAAGGTGGAATTATAGGCCTGTGCCACCATGCCCAGCAACAAGAAAAATTTTTACATTTGCCTCGAACAAGTTACTAAGTCTAATAATTATAGTGTATACAGAAATGAAGCTCCAAGGATGTCTGTCCCCACCCCCAGGCAGTGAGAATGAGTCTTGTAATGATCACGTGTGTAGCTGTTTGTGTACACTGAAGCAAGTGGTGTTAGAAATCAGTTTGAAGGTAAGGCTGAAAACCGAGAGCAAGAACACAGGGAGAACTTAATTTGAAGCTGCTGCATAGTCAGTGAACCTTACGTTACCAGCTGTCTTGGTCTAGGTTTCCTAACAGTACCAGCCTTGCCTCTAAAGATCTGCTTCCACTGCAGAACAAGGCAGCAGCTCTCTCTCCCTCTGCAGAGATGGGCTGGTCCCAGACAGCTGTGTGCAGGGTCTCACAGAGTGGCAGCACAGCGCTGGCAGGGCTTCCCAGGGAATCTCACCTACTACATAACCATGCTTTTTCAAGATATTCAGCTGATTTTGTTCTTGCTTGTTAAGATCTTCCTCTGATTTACTTGCATCGTTTTTCAGTCTTTTTTGCCTTTCAAACATCCTGTAAGGAGTTGGGTTGCAAATTGGAAACTTCAGCAGGTTTAAGGTAGTACCTGAAACACCAAAGAATAAATGTTTTTAGAAAGAGGATTGGCTGGGCCTGCTGGCAGGCAGATCACTGTGAGTTTGAGGTCAGCCTGATTGCCCAGCAGGACCCAGAAGCAAAAAAAAAAAAAAAAAAAAAACAAAAAAAAACTAAAAAGGCCAAAAAAAGAAAAGCCCAACCCACTCCCAAACAAAACATGAATAAGGGGAAGAAAAGAAGCATTTCTGTGAACCTACGCTGTTTTCTACTGCACATGGCGACCATCCCTAAGATTATTCCTACATTACAAATGAGGACACAGGCTAGCAGGATAAACCAGGATTTGGATACAAAATCTGCACGCTTGATTCAGCCTCATCTTCACGTTCCTCGCCCCTGCACAATCTGTGCATACCTCAGAGGTCAGGAGCACTGAGGGTGGCATGTTGGCAGAGAATTCTGTGTGTAATTAAACAAAGTGCAAGACAAACACCAAACAGAACAGTTTTGCTAACATAAATACAAACGGGAAAATTGAAAGGCTCATTTTCTTTTTCAATGACTGTTTTCTGGGACTTATTATATAGTCCACGCAGGTCTCCTCCTTCTGCCTTAGCCTCCCAAGTGCTGAGATTACTTCCACCTGGCACAGAGGTTCGGTGAAAACTGCAAAACTGACTTTTCTTCTCAACATAGCCACATACTATTTTGTATTAAAGAATTAGTCCATTATTACATAGGTATAGTGTAACAATTTCAAGAATAAATTCAAGACGTGAAAAGATTGAGGGGTGGAGGGAATTACAGAGAGTAAAAAGGAAATACCACTTTCCAAAAAACTTACACTGAAGGAAGCTACAGGGGAAATCTCCAAGAGGGCAGGAACTTTGCATTGTTCCCCCAAGTGTCAGTGTCCAGTGACCAAAACACAGAAATGTTCCATAATCATGTCTACTAAAAAAATTACAATAGGGACCGCATTTCCAAGCGCGCAGCTGACCCAGGAGGACGGTGTTAAAAGGACGGCTCCAGGCAGCCCACAATGGACATCAAGCCACGCTGTCCTAGACCCTGGGCCATGACAGATGCGCAGTCTCTCGGAAAACGGGCCCCCGAGCCTCACCTGGCCAAGGCGAGATGGTGGCCCTGTCTATGGCCTCGGAGCCCTTGGCGGTGCAGTAATCGGACTCCAGGAGCGTGTTGAAGAGGGTGGACTTGCCGGCGTTGGTGGCGCCTACCAGGTAGACGTCGCCACGGTAGCGCCACGCTCGCTGAAGCGCAGATATCAGTTCTTCGATTCCGTAGCCAGTCTTTGCGCTTATCAGACGCACGTCCTTGACCACCGTGCGGGACCTGGCCGGGGCATTCCCGTTCTTCTCGTCCCCGTCGGCGTGCTGTGGCCCCTGGTGACCAGGGGCTGGCAGGAGCCCCGCGCGGACGCAGTCGTCCCACAGCCGGTCCCGGAGCCGCCGCAGGTAGCCGGGCGCGTCCTGGGGCAGCAGGTCCACTTTGTTCCCCAGCACGATGAGCTGCTTGGGGCCCACGAGCGCGGGCAGCTCGGGCAGCAGAGGGTCGGGCAGGTCAAGGAGGTCCACCATGTACAGCACCAGGGCCCGGCCCGGCCTCCGCAGCGCGGCGCTCACCAGCTCCAGGTACTGCTCGCGGGTCACCTGCAGGCGCAGCGCGCGCCGGTGGTGCCGCAGCAGCCAGCAGCGCTGGCACACCAGGGCCGGGCCGCCGTCCTCCGGAGCCGCGCCGAGCAGCTTCTCGCCGGGCAGGTAGCCGGGCTCGTGGGGGTCCTGGCACTGCAGCTCGGCCCCGCAGCCTGAGCAGTGAAGGTCGCTGGGCGGCACCCGCGGGTCCCGGACCTCCGCGGGCCGGGGCGCGCGGACTCCATCCCGTAGCCTCTGCTGAAGCCGCTCCTCCCGCCGCTGTCGCCGCAGCCGCTCTTCCTCCTGCTGTCGCTGCACCAGCTCCAGCACCTCCTCAGGGGTGGGCGCGGGCTCCGGCTCCGGCTCCCAGACGTACTCCGGGAACAGAAATCGCTCCTCCACGCCGGTGTCTCCTTTGTGGTCCGCCGTTGCAGTGGGGCCACGAGGACGCCCACGGCCCAAGGAGAAGGCAGCTGTGCATCTCTTCTCCAGCAGGAGCTCGGGGAAGCCGTGGCGCGCGAGGGCAGAAGCAGACCCCCGGACACCCCACAGCAGCCAGCGCGTTACAGGCCCAGGAGGCATTACTACCGCCACGCGCGCAGGCGTCCAAGAGCCCGCTGGCGAGCTAGGCGACCACACGGAAGACAAAGTCCGCGAGTTCTCGCGATGAAAACTCTGAGTCTCGGACACCCACTTAAAGCGACAGCAGAGGAGTTAAGCACTTAGCTAGGTGAGCAGAATAGGGTAGTGAGTACCCTTAGCTTGTTCACTTTTGGGCTTCTTCGACACACCACTATGAGCCTTGGTAAATCACATTTTGGAAAAGTTTTGTCTTTAGAAGTGCAAAATATGCATCGAATGTTGAGGATTTACGGCTACAACTTCCATTAATTAGTTTCCTTGGCCATTTTCAAGGTGTCATTGTTTGTGGGGGCGGGGGAAACCTTGAAAAACAAACAGGCAAATAAACTTTCACTGATTGGGTCCAACTCTTGCTTTTTGGAGTCTGTCCTCTCAACCGCGGTCCGCTAGTCACAATTTGCGAGTGCACAACTCTGGGGGGAGGGGGAGGACATGGGGGGCGGGGCGAGGCGCACAACCTAGCCTCACAGTCTGCGCAGGCGCAAATCAAGCGTTGGTGCTTGAAAGAGGCGCAGAGGGTTCTGGGAAAGCCAGAGACGGAAACTATCGCGTCTCTTTCTTGGGCAGGTGGCTGCTGCGCTCTTGTGTGATTTCAAAACCTAGGAGCTCGGGAATCCGTTGCCAAGATGTATGACGCAGACGAGGGTAAGTGCCACTCTAAGTTCACTGCGCCGCGACCCTCTTAAGTAGGGAAGCACGCGGGACAGAGGGGAGCGAGGATGTGGGGCCCTGCCCGCGGCCCCTGGCGTGGAGTGCCCAGTCGCGTAGCCCGCCTTCGGCAGGCGCGAATGGAGCTGGGTTTGCGAGAGGTGCAGCCCCGGGGAACCGGGCACCGACGTTTCGGGTCCAGGGTGGCGCCTGTTCCCTCCGCTGTCTCGTTCAGTTACTTCTGTTAGCGTATTCCAGTGTTGAAGTAGCGTGCAGAGTCCTCGACAGGTTTTGTTGGCTTCGTTGAAAGAAAAGCGTCCCCTTTCACTTTTCTTCTGACCTCTGTCAATTTACTGGCTAGTTTTCCTTTGAGCATCAGTCTGTGCCCACATTATGCAAGGTACTGGAAATACAGTGGGGACAAAGAACCAGCTGAGGTGTTGGCCTGGTTTGGCATTTCATTTTGCTGTCTTTAAGTATACCTAAAGTTGCCTTCAAAGATGGCCTTTACACTTCTTCATTCCACAGGATGACAGGTTGTATGCACTGCGCTGAAAAGGGCCAAATAATTTTGCTTTTCACATATAAAATTCGTAGTTATGTCTGGTGTGTTGCCCAGGCTGGCCTCCTACTCCTGAATTGAAGTGATCCTGCTCCCCACCCCCGTGGGGGAGCTACTGGTGGGCATTGCATCCAGCTCATTTGTAATTTTTAAGCTGCTTTCATCTTTATTCTCCATATGTGCTGTTTTACACTTGATTTCTACTGATTCGCAAGTGCATGACTATCCATCAGTGTTCTCCTTAGTCTCTTAGCTATTTTCCATACAAAAATAGAAGCAAACGCTTAAACTTTTAAAGCTGTTTTGAGTTTCTTCTTCATGTTTTGTGTCTAGAAATTTGTTAGATCCATTGTATTATTTTTAGCTGTCTCATTGGAAGAAAAATATTTTTTTGAAGTTCTTAATAGCTTGCTACTTACAATGCTGAAACTCAAATGTGAGCCCTTATTGCACACTTAGACATGCACTCTGCATCTGAGCTACATCTCCAGTCCAGCCCAACTTTAATTTTTTTTGGCAGAACCGGGGATTGAACTCGGGTCCTTGTGCTTGCCATCTACTGAGCCATCTCCCTAGTCCCAACCTACTTTAATTTTTGAGTAGGTCATATATTTTCATGAGGCACAAGTTAGAAAACTGTGAACAAAAATGATACTATGTGTCCAGTTAGAACCCCCTCCATGAGGGCCGGGGAGATAGCTCAGTAGAATAAGTGTTTGCCTGGCAAGTACCAGGACCTGAGTTCAATCCGCGGTTCCGCCAAAAAAAAAAAAAAAAAAAAGAAAAAAAAAACCCTCCATGAATAACTGTCAGATTTTTATTCTTTTTTAAAAGATTTTTATTCTTTATGAATATTTATGCAAAAATAGATAGGGTTCTGTTTTTCTGTTTTAGAGAGAAAAAGTGGCATTTACAGCTTCCTGTAGTTTTTTTTTTTTTTTTTTTTTTGGCAGAACCGGGGATTGAACTCAGGCCCTTGCGCTTGCCAGGGAAGCACTTATTCCACTGAGCCATTGCTCCAGCCCCTGTAGTTTTAGTTTTTGCTTAACATATTGTAAGTGATTTTTGTAACAGTTACAGGGAGAGCAGCTTCATTTCCCTCTCACAGTTATGTAGTTTGTATAGGTGTACCATAACTCTAATAGTTTTTTTTTATTGAGGGTATTTGAGTTATTTCCAATCAGCATCTGGTTCAAACAATGCTTCAAAAAGTAATTTTGTACATATCCTCTTGCCCAAATATGAAGGACAAATTCCTAGATGTGGAATTGTCAGGTCTAATGATAAGCACTTTTATTTAACATTTTGAAAAAAAAACAAAGGAAACTCTTTAATATAAGACCAAAAAGACAAAACAAAACAAAAAACCATTTTGTTAACTGGTGCCAAGCTCTGTGGTAGTGATTATACTAATTTACATTCTCATTAGCATTGTATAATCTGTGACAAATTTATTCAAAGCTGCTCCAGCATAAGTGTATATTCCATTTCTTCCTGTCCTCTCAAGTGTTTATTAGGTACACTGTTTTCAGCTACTCCACTCCTTTTATTTTATTTTTTAAGTTTTGAAACAAGGTCTCACAATATAGTAGCTACTTCTTTTCAGCTGCCTTCTTTCTATGGGAAAATTCCAGGTCTTGTCTGCAAGAAAACAAGTTAAATCTGTTTTTGTTTTTCTTTTTTTCCTTCCTCAGGTTTGTTTGTACAAAGAACACAGAGGGACACCAGCCCCCACAGATGGCACCCAGGGGTTATACCAGTCCTGCTGTTTTCACATCAGTAGATGAAAAGGCTTTTACTGTGGAGCCTTCACGGGGGCCTGGGCACTTTTGGGAGCCTGGGCTGGAGCAGAAGCTGGAGCCTTGGCTGGAGCCCAGGCCTTTGGCTGGCAGGGCCTGTGACCCATGGCAATGCAGGCATGGATATGCTTCCTAAGCTTGGGGTAGGCAGTGTAGGCAAGTCAAGTGAGCCCGTGGTTTACTCCCTTTGGGATGATCTTGGGCTTGACCTCCTTGGGCCTGATGAGGGCCTGGATAGCCTTGGGGCGTGCACTCATGGCCTTGGCATTGTTTACTTGCATCTTCTTGAGCCCTTCTTATTGTGCTTCTTGACAAAGTGCATGTTCCTGAAGAACTTGGGATCTGTCCCCTCAGAGATTCCTAGCTTTGTGACTGAGGTTTCTTGATACCATTTCTATGCCATTTTCAGAACTAGTTGTGCATGGTGTGGTTCTTGGACTTGGCCATGACTGCACTGTAAACTGCGGCTGCCAAATGCCTGCAACCAGAAGAAAAGCTCTTTTTGTTTTTCTTGTACTGGTTTATTTTCTCCTTCCTTTTACAGCTGAAGTTCTTAAAAAAAATAGGCTAGCATTCGGGATCCAACCCAGGACCTTGAATGTGCTAGGCCAGTGGTCCTCAGTAAGTGCTTCTCCTGCTCCAGCTTCTCCACAGGCACGTTCCACACCTGAATATCTGCTTCCTTTTCTTTAATGTATTTGGTACAGGGTCTCACTATGCAGCTCAGACTTGTAGTGATCCTCCTGTTTTCAAGCCTCCCAGCACTGGGATTATAGGCTTGCACCACAATGCCTGGTCTTGGTGGCCAGCTCAGTGCACTCGGGGGTGGGGCTGGTGCAGCATGTGGTGCCAGGGGTCAAACCCTGGTCTCTGTGCTTGCCTAAGCAGGCGCTTGGTCCACTGGGCTCGGGGATTGAACTCAGGCCCTTGCGCTTGCCACGGAAGCACTTATTTTATCGAGCCATCTCCCCATCCCCTCACTAAGCTGTCTTGCTGGCCCTCGTTTGTGTTTTTTGAGATAGTCTTGCTATGCAGTCTAAGCTACTCTTGAACCCTCTGTGGAGTACAGGCTGGCCTCAAACTTGTGATGATCCTCCTATCTCAGCCTGAGTGCTGGGATTACAGGCATGTATTATCATGCTTGGCTTGACTTACCATTTTTTTAATTTTAGTTTTTATTAATTTTACTGAGAAACAAATAGCAATGAGACAGTTTTAAAACAGGTTAGTAGGACAGTTACAATAATTAATAAATTGTTGTCTTCGTAGTAGTTATTCATAGTACAAGATGCAGACATGATACTGACTTAGCATTTTTGATCGCTATTTTTCACCCCCTTTTTTTTTTTGGCAGAACTGGGGATTGAACTCAGGCCCTTGCGCTTGCCAGGCAAGGACTTATTCTATTGAGCCATCTCCCTGGGTTCTCACCCTTATGTTTAGTCAGCCACCAAGTCCCAGTGTTTTGGTCTGCTAAATATGTAACATGTAGTCACTTCTCTTTATCCTTTCTGCTGTGGTCCTACTTCATTCCATCAGCTTGCTCTTACCTGGTTTGTGGCCTTCTAGTTTTGTCTGTCCATACCATTCTCCACATTGGCCATGATCTTTGGGAAACAAAGAGCTGATCTACCCGCAACCCTTGGGCAAACTTTATGATAGCTCCGCATGGCTCTTGGCAAATACCAGATTTTGCTTACTGTCTTTCAGAGCTCATGCTGTGTGTCAGCCATTCTGGCCTTCTACAATGTACCATGGTGTTTTTAGTCATGAAGGCTTGCCTTTTGGGATACTGCTTCCCTCCTCCCCTTACTGTCCCTTTTTTCCCTCTGTTCCTAATGCAAGGTCTGTGTTTATCTTAACTTTGGGGAGTCTTCTTTGACCTCTTTGGGTCTTGGATAGAAGCATCCACTTCACTGTCTTTGTAGACTGCACCTTAAGCATTTGTTTTCCCAGCAGGCGATAATATCCCTGAGGACACAGCCATTTTCCTCTTGCTGAGGGTGTGCTCAGTGCTTGGGTACAAAAAATAACAGGCTCCATAGAT